ACCAGTACCAGCAGCACTGCCAGGTACTGTCCACCCCTCCTGTCTGCCCCTTCAGCATGCAGTCAGCTCAGAACGGGGGACACATGCGGACGGGAGCCATGGAGGGGGAAGCACCTAGGGCTTCAGACATGATGGGGGCTCCTTGGCTGTGCCCACTCGGGTCTCTCTTGGGCTGGCATGTTCGGTGGGGAAGAGGTGTGAGGGCTAGGGATTCATTCCAGGGGAACAGAGCAGCTGTTATTTATCAGCCTGTACGGAAGTACTTTACAATTTCAACAACCAATCCAGACTTCCTGCCTTTTACCTGCTGAATATCAGGTCTGGGATGATTACAGATAATTACAGAGCTTTGTGAAGATCAGATGAGATGACACATGTCAAGTGCTTAGCAAAGTGCCTGGCATATGGCAAGTGCTCAATAAATGCTAGTTTATGTTAGTTTTGAGAAGCATGGTACTTAGATAGAGATGAAGACATGATTATTAAGCACCTTCTATGGTTTGTTGCATAGCAAGCAACAGAAGACCAGAACTCTGCTCTTCATGAATCTCAGATATTCTCAGAGCATTGTGAGGGAGCCAGGGCATGGGAAGTGGAAGTTCTGGACTCTGGCCACAGCTCTGTCCCTAACAGGCTCTGTGACCTTGGGCACAGTGCTTTACCACTCTGTGCCTCTATTTCTTCTCTTGTACAATAAGGGGTCCAGCTACCTAAGATTCCTCATCTTTGGAACACTTTATGGTGCTGCAATCTTACTTAGTGATATTAATAGCACCCTCACTAACCTTCTGTTCAGAGTTCCACCCAAATGTAACATTCGGCTTAATTTCATGGAGTCATGACCTTCAAGGTCACCTGGCCGCATCTGCTCATGTATTGTTGAGAACACTAAGTCACAGAGAGGTCATGGGAGCCACAGCTCCCATGCTCACTGCTTTAACCCACTGCTCCCTTTCCAAAGGTTTTGTCCAATTACAACTTTCCTTCACCTTGGAAAACAGTCCTTGCTTCTTCTTTTTCAAATGTTCTGGGATTTGATGAGTAAACCTGCCAACTCAAGCTTTCTGTGTCTTTGTCATCTTCTGTCCACTCCGAGCTTTCCAAATGGCCCTGGTTTTTCTTATTTGTGTTTTTAAATTTTTTCAAGGTGAAAAAAACCTTTTTTATTATGGTAAAAAAATATATAACACAAAATTTGCCATTTTAACCATTACAAGTGTACCAAATGGATCTAGTTTTCATGGTTCATTCGCAGTTCCTGAAGAGGCTGACTGTATGACATCTCACAGTTGAAGAGTCCAGTTCTGGGCAATCTCTCTGTGTTTCTGCAGTGTTCAGCTGCTTGGGGAACTCAGTTACTAGACTAAAAGCCTCGAGGACAGAGGATCAGGTCTTAGCCTCACTGTCATCCCCACTGCCTTGCTCAGCATATAGGACACGCTTAAGAAATATTTGTCGAGGGAATGAATGACCCTGTGTGTTAAAGGCGACCTTTCTCAAACGCCTTATATCACCTTAAGATTATTTTTTCCTGTCTCAGGGGAACAAACGGTGTTAATAAATGACAGCCACCGTGTCACATGTGTGCACGTAAGGGGCGTAAACGTGCCTCTTTCCCCAAAGGTAAGCTACTCAGTGGAACAGCAGGGTCATGATAGGCTTGTAAATACCCTTGTTGACAGTCTCTCTTTAGAAATCATGTTTACTTGCTACATTGTGTTCCCGTTAGAGAACAAAGAGAAATTTGCCCTTTGGTGACTGAATGAGGTCAAAGCATTATAATCAGTGTTACCAAAGGCTGACAATTTCTGCCCCACAGATATAATACAAGCGCAGACCACTGCCATCCTTGGAAACATTTGCTCAAATACGCCCACAAACCACGGCTGTGGGCTGCAGGCAAACACCTCTGTCTGCCGCCGGACCAGGTGCGCCACGGCAGCTCAGGGCCCCACCTCTGTCTGGACACGGAAAGGAATCGCGGCTTCGGCGGAAAGAAAGAACCGGTGCCAGTAATCTTCCTAATGGCAATGAAGGGGCAGTAACACCCTGCAGTCTGGCTTTGTCTCTGGGTCTCTGGAATCTCCCGTCTCACTGCAATTGGAAGCTGCAGAGCAAGGCCTGGCTCAGAGAAGCTATTCCCGAACTGTGAAAGGTTCTCTTGGCTGTCACAGTCATCGCAAGGATGTAGAGGCTGTGACCAACCGGGAGAAGCACATCATTAGATAAATGCCACGACCTGGTATGAGGGGGGAAGAAAGAAAGAAACACCCAGGGCTCCGAAGGACAGCCCAAGGGGCAATAAATGTTTGACCAGCCCCGGCCATTTGTGCAGAATGCTACCTTTTCACCCTCTCTATCAAATTGTTTTCTTGGTTCCTTCCCCACCCCCAGTTCCATGATTCTTTTACTGCACAGGAGGAAAAACGACATTTTTGTCGCTTCGCTAGCGAGTTCTGTGCCCGCAGGAGATCCTGGAAAATGTTAATTCTCTTCTTTTTCTCTCCCTTTCATTGAAAAAAGCCTGCCCATCTCTACTGGGTAAAAATCGTCCCCCTACCCTAAGACAAGCATCGGACAAGAGGACAACGTAGGGGATCCTATTTTAGGCAGTCATCAGACTTTTCTATAGAAAAAAAAGCCTTGCAGAGCGACAGGATCAGTCCCTCTGCTGGCCTGTAGGAGAGGCCAGTGGCCCCAAGTCAGACGTTTCTATTTTCGGCTCCCCAAGTCCGGAGAGCGGTAACCTCCGCCTGGGCGAGGGCCACGCAGCTCACCCGCCAGCGCCTCGGGCCTGCAGCCTCTCTCTGCATTTCTATTTCCATAAATTTACATGAAATTTGTGCTGAGTCATATCCCCCCCACGCAGAAGAAATGAAATACATTATCAATAAGAACAACAAATTTGAATAATCTGAGAGCTGAGTGACTTCCCGTCTCTTTTCCATTTAACCCTTTCCTTGAACCACAGGCTCACTCTGCTCTCCGCACGGGCCAGGGCTGGATTTACCCCCACCTATTCCTGTACTCAAGGTTTCCCGCTCTTCTCTCCTCTTATCTGGAGCCCCGGGTCCCGCATCTCCCTCTGTCTCTCCTTTCCTTCCCCTCAGTCTCCAGTTCATTGCCTTTTCCTCCTGACATCTTGGTCCCCCTTATGGGAACCCTTCTATCAGCAGAAGCAGCTGCCCCACTGCCTCGACCTCGGCCCCTCCTCCCGTCCCTGCAATGCACCAATCACGCCCATGCCTGCGCCCCTTCAGGTTGGTAACCGCAGGTCCCCGGCCTGTCAGGCCATCATCAGCCCCACTCAGTCATTTTGAGCACCTCGTGGAGATGCAGCAGGGGCTGGAACTTGCTTCCACCCCCTGCTGCCTGGCTGATTGGCAGCCAGCAGGGCCAGGGGTGGGGGGCAGCGGGCAACTGATTGTTTGCTGCTGGGCAGGGAGGGCTTAGTGGGGGCCAAGAAAGGGCCCAGGAGCTCAGGGGGCTAAGAGACAGAGGATGCCCTGAGTCAAGGACCCGGCCAGAATCCCCTGTCTGTCTGTCTCATGTCTGACTGCTGGCCCTGGTAGGGAAATGACGGATGAAGCCCTCTGCAGAGTATCCCAGGTAGAGGGAAGAGAGGCTTATTTTTTACAGAATTGAGGCCAGCAGCCCAGAGGACCTCAGGTCTCAGGGCTCTGCAGGTGCCTGACTGCAGTACGCATTGGGACCTGCAGTCCCCTGCCCCTGGTAAAGTCAAGAACAAAGGAAGGCAGTTAGCAACCAGGTTATGGGCATTACTGTCTAAATGGTCCTCCCTTGACAAGAGCAAGAATTGGGGACCTTGGCTTATACAGAGCTAATTAATATATACATTTTGTGTGTATGTGTGTGTGTCTCTGTCCCTATAACCACAGTCATTAACAATCATCTTCTTCCCAGGCTCGTCAAATTGGGTTTCCTAATTCAGGAAAAAAATGACTGGGGATAGGAGTGGCCATGAAAATTGCCCCAGTTGTATATTTCAGAGAAAAGCCAAGCCAAAACTCTCTACTGCAATTTTGCTTAGTTTCTTTTAATGAGAACGCTGATATTTTTGCTTGGGCAGCCAGAATCTGAACTGAAAATACTGTCTAGAGAAGTTGTATCAAAAGCTGGAGGGCTTTCCTGTATGTCCGGGGCTGTTGGGACTTGGCCAAAGTCATCTTGCAAGTCAGTAGAGAACCCACAGTGAGAGGCTAGGTTTCTAACAATAAGTTCAAGTCGTCCTTTCTTGCCCAGTATCTCCAGAGATTTGTTTTGTTTTGTTTTCATCAGCATCTGCCTGTTCAATTTCTTAGATTGAGCTGTTTTGGAGTTTCCACATCTAAAACCCTCTCCAACTTTTGAACGTTTAGAGCATTGCTCAAAAGCATCGAAGCACTTTTCTTCTAACTATACGTGCATATAAATAAATAACTAGAACTAGCCCTGGGGCTATGAAAATATACGGAAAAATTGGGTCCCTAGAGATTTTCCAGAGTTAAGGGGATGTGAAAAATAGAGGCTAAAGACAATGGGTCAATACTTAGTGCCAGGGTGGCAAATTTAAGATGAGGGCACCGGGTTTTGAATGGATCCCGTGCAAATGGACTGTGCGATGGAACTTTTAATGTACTGCTTTGATCACTGGTGAGGACAGTCGATGAGTGGTTTTAGTTTTTTCTTTGAAAAAACTTAACCGCAATATAATTAGCTTTGTATTTGTCAGCCCGGGTTGCTGTTGACGTGGTGTCTGGAGGCCTTCTGGTATAGGTGCCTAAAAGCTTAAACTGCGTTTAATTATTATTATTACTCAATGTCAGGCTACATAAATGAAAAGAGATAAAAAAGAATCGCTCCCGGCTACATTGCCTTGGTTTGTGATTTCATCACATCTCACGAGCTAAGCAGGTTCGAGCTGGCACTTGGGGCATGAAACCTCTAAGGGAAACCCAGGCAACTGGAGATGCCATTTCAACTGAGTTGAAAGTTTCTCCACGTGGTGAGGAGGGTAGAGGCTTGCCACTCTTTGATTTTCCTCCCCAGTTTTATTTTTAAACACCTTAATAACTGGCTGACTTACTTCAGAGAAGAAAAGCAAATAGGAGCAATAGAGTCACACAGAGAGTTGTCTTAAAGATACATGATCTGTAATATGAAGATTCCTTGGTTCCCAACAGCTTGCATGCTGATGGTCCCACTGCCTGAAATAACCAGGGAAGGCGCCAAAGCTGCAGCAGTACTTGAAAGCCTCAGCTAAATGTGGTATCGGAAAGGGGCCGGCTGCTTTCCCACCTGAATGCTAGCTGAGAGCAAGGCACAGGCCAGGAGTCGGAGGAAGGCAGATGGACTAAGTTATGCCCACTCTATTAGCCTACAGTCTATTTCATTGACAAGTTGGAACGAAACCAGATGGTTTGCCAGAGGGCAATATATTGGCAGACAGTACCTTTCTTCTTAGCATGAGACATTGATCGGGCTGTTAGGAACAAGTGTTTGGCGCTGAGTTAACCCTAGACATTCAGTTCAGGGATGGCGTTCTTTCCACCCTTTTGGATTACAAAGAATGGAGTAGGTGGCCCAAGTGGTCAGAAGACCAGAAGCCTTAGCTGTATTGTAGCCCCTTTGTTTTCTCTTGTTCCCTAGAGCATTTGTTTGCAAAACTTGGATGGTAAGGCTTGCAAACCTTCCAGTACAGGGACCGTGGTCTGCAACGTTGTTGAATGTGTCCAGAATGGGTATGGAATTTGTAGGCAATAGGCACTGAATCAAAGTGCTGCCTACTGTCTCATTCTCATAGGCCCTGGCCAGCCAGAATCTGCTGTAGAATCCTCTTTAGATGAGGACCCAACAGGTCATGGTGCCAGGGCTGCCAGGGAGAGTTCCGGCCATCCAGGCTCCTCTGCAGTGGTGAAACCATTTATATCAGTTATCTGTTGATACATAGCAAACCACACCAAACCTCAGTGGCTTAAAACAATGGTTTGTTTAGCCCATGATCTGTAGGTCAGCAAAGTGGGCAAGTTTCAGCTGGGTAGTTCTTCTGCTGAATTCAGCTGGGCTCATGCAGGCATCTGTGGCAGCTGGGGGTCAATGGCTTCACTTGCATATGTGGCAGCTGGCTGGTTGGTGGCCTTTAGTCCTGCATCATTCAGCAAGATATTCTGGGCTTATTTCTGCGGCAATGATCACAGGTTCCTAAGGGCATAAGCAAGGATAAGCCTTACTTCACAGGTCCTTTACAAGCCTTTTGGTGTTGCACATTTGCAAACACTGCATTAGCCAGAGCAAGTCACACGGCTAAGCTTAGAGTCAAAGTTACAGACAGTGGCTGGGACACAGGCAGGGGATTATTGACACCATTCTGCAAACAATCTTCCACGCCAACAAAACAAGGCCAAGAACAGAATGCAGTATTTCCATCTCCCAGGGGTGATACTTCATTTTCAGGTTTCCAAGATGCTGAAGAGGGTCTCTGGGAGCTAGAAGTCCTAGTTGAGACACTGTTTCGCCACTTTTCCTGACAAATGGACATAATATCCATCTTGCAGGGTTGATCCAAGATTAACAGGTGCTGAAACATTAAATAAATAATGGCTTTCACAACAGTAAAATGGGTTCAGAACCTCTCAGTCTACCTGCTCATCTCCACAGGAAGCATTTCTGCAAGTACGGAAAGCTCACTACTGGTGTTGGTTCAGGACAGGATTTTAGGTGACATGGGAAAACCACCTTGAATAGCATGGACTCGAGTGAAGATTCCCCTGCCCTCTGTAATTCTCTTTCAGTCCATCCTCTTAGAAGAACGTCTCAGTTTGATGCCAATGTCTTCAACACCTCTCTCCACACGTGCTAAGCATCACACTCGGAGCTTTGGTTCTATTTAGAATTCATTACTGTTTTATTTTCAATGTTTTCATTTGTTGTCTATTTATGACAGTTGATAATTTAAGAAATAAACAGAAATACATATGAGTAGCTTAAAAAATCATGTTAAATATATAACAACATGCGGTTCATTCACTCATAGGTTCAACAGATAATTGTAGAGCAACTACTATGTGCCAGGCCTTGTACCCAATGTTCGTCAGAGGAGGAAGCAACCCTCTGCCCGAGTGGGGCTTGCATTCTAGCGGTGGGAGCCGCGTTGGTGTTCAGGGAATGGCTGGATTTGGGGATTTGCTTCTTGCGGGGGACACAAGAGGTGCCCACCAAGCCCGCCTCCCACCGGGAGAGCGATAATCCTGTCGTCATAAGTTACCTGCCACTATGACCCAGAAGGAGGCCCAGAGCCGGGTCCAGGGTCTGCGCGGGGTCCCAGGCTGCGCACAGGGGGCGGGGTACACGGGGTCCCGGGACTGTGCAGGGTCAGGGGGCCACGCGGGGTCGGGGGCTGCGCGGGATCAGGGG